TCTTTCTTTGACGATAACGACACTTCTCAAGTCTATGGAAGGCATCAAAAGCATTAGTGAAATAAGAAGTGAACCCCCAACCTAATGGTCTACATCAGGGATTCTCAAATTGTGGTACGAGTACCACTGGTTGTACGTGGAGATTATGTCGTTAATACGGGAAAAAACGTAATGTACAAATTATGAAATTTGTCATAAGCCTAACTTAACTTTCCTCCGTACATATACACACACTACTCTTCTCGCTTCTGTACTTGACCTCCCTCCGCCTGCGTAGACTCGCCATTGTTTTATTCCTTTCAAATTGGCAAAAATAGCACGCCATATTCTTTACTTGTGTTTGAAAAAACACTCATATTGTTCCCATTAATGGGTAAGTGTTAAGAATATTAATTTTTGCTAAGAGGTTTTTCGTTTTTTTGTTATATAATTAGGCCCGGGTTTGTGCTTCAAAAACATATAAAGTTTAAACAAAAAATGTGGAACGAGAGCTTGAAAAGTTTGAGAACACCACTTATCCATCCTTAACAAGGTACTACATGCCGAAAAGTAGGGGAACGTAAATGGGATTTCATTAAAGAAAGGCTTGATTAAGCTAATGATAAACAACATAAGTTTACCAAATAGGAATCAAAGTGGCCCAGCGTGTAGAATTTTGATTAGATCGGCCTATACACAGCTGCAATTCAAAGGAAAAATAACTACATAATAATAATAATAAAAAATAAACGAAGAATATTCAGCTAAGTTAATTACAGTGTAGTCACGTGTGTTGTATTATATTTGATTTGGAGTAACTAGCTTTCCTCTACAAATGGTACAAACAGCACTGCTGTGAATCCAGTACATCTGGCACGATGAAAAAGAAAAAATAGTTTGTTTTCTTTCTTCGTGAAAATCAGTAGACAGCACAAGTTCGAAGAAAACGTTTGGACAAAAACTGGCCTCGAATTTAAATAACTTGTACCATGTAATCGACTCAAGCTAAATGAAATGTGTATTATACAATTTATTGATGATCACATTCAGGTTGAAGCCTTAACCCGACGAAGCAGTGGGACGACAGAGATCATTATACATTAATATCTGGTTGAGATGCCTTTCTAGAGGGGTCTGGGAGCATGTCTCCCCCCGGAAAATTTGAAAACTACAAAGACAAACAATGTTGCCCTAATCATTGTCTATTTCCACGTACACCTTGTTTCATTGAAAACTGTTATTTATAATCAATAAACTAATCATTTTGACCAATATTTTGTAAAGAGGCGTGACAGCTCTCTAAAAAAGGTGGTAGAAAAGTCCCGAAATCGGTGGTTTACCGCGTGAATCGTCAGATTATGAATTGTTGGGATGTTCAACGTCAAATTAAAAATGATTCAATTCTAACCGATCAAAAGTTAAGTAGAACGTTGGAGATTGTTTTTCGGCCGTTTGTTGGTCAGTGATCTTGTAAACAGGAATGTATATACACGTATGTCGCTGCTAAAACGAACCAGTAATTATTCTTATACTTCCAGAAGTATAAATACTCATTGCATTGCTGTACACGTCTGTTCTTAACTGGCAATTTTCCGAAAGAAAAGTTAGTTAAATTAATACAAAAGCTATTTTAGTCACTAATAATTAATATAGGTTAGCCCCCAAGTGGCACAACTCCGCCCAAGTCCGCGGAATTAGAACTCTAGAAACCGGGTTTCGATACCTGTGATGGGCAGATCACAGGTAGTGGCCCGGCATGGCCAGGTGGTTAAGGC